TTATAATAATGCATTATCATTTTACCCCACGTGTTTCACAGGCTGACCAATGACGTGAAGCTGAAACAGATTAAAAACTACTGCAGGTTGTTACGTGGTTCGGTTTGGGTAAAAAGGAAAAGCAAGCCGAGTCCGTGTAGGTGTCAAAAATAGTGATCTTTATTACACACTTTGCGCAGAAGTGCGGGGAAAACAGTTTTACATCAACAATCTCCGCCAGGCGGAGGCTTTTCATGCTTATATTACCATGATGACGTCACACAGTTGGACCTTACTGGAAATGATAACAGTTTGGGCCTGTTCAGAGAGTTTACCTAATATGGACATGAACTACTAGTTTTTAGAGAAAAACAAGTGTGTATTACATTGTGCATTTTGTGAAAGTATATCTATCAGAATGGTGTCCTCAAACGACCCTCCTATTCTTACTAAGTGTGTGTGTAAACGTGCGTGAGTTATATAAGTACGTGCAAGTTTTCTAAAGGCCTGTGTACGTGCAGAACTGAACATAAAACGAAGACAGGGTCCAGCAGGACCCACAGGCTTCTGAGTGGTTACAGCACTGTGAAACAGCTTTAAGCAAATAACAAGAATACTGCCGAACAACAATAGACTGATTAAAGTACTGATAATCTATGTAGATTAATATTAACATAGATGTGGTTCAAAGATTATTCTGTCAACTGGTCCAACAATGGTAAATGATTAATGATTGATACTTCTGCTTATAACTGTAATCATAAGAATACAAAATAAAATATCTCCTGGTCACACTCCTCCTCTTTGGCCTTTAGCAAAAAGGCCAACCTTTACCCAGATATTGTGTCACTCCTCCGTCCAGGCGGCTTCTCGCAAAGGCATCATATGTTCCTGACCAGCTGACCCAGCTGAACCAGAAGCTATGGCCCTGCTCACCAGATTACCCAACACCTGCAGCACAGAGACGTAGTTTAGCTTTCTTTTGTTAGAAAATTGATATCCAAATGATCATTTAAGTTCTATTTTTATAAATAAAAGCTGTAAAAATGATCTGATATCTTTTTACAATCAGAATTTAAATGGATTTGGAACCAAAAACTTATTAACTAATTTATATTTCATTTGTATTTCATATCAGGTCTTAATCAGTGAAAAAAAAAATATCATTATCATTACAATATTAAAAGGTAGCAAATGGCTCACACGTTGTAACAAACCTTTTGGGTTATAGCACCACTAGGGGGGGT